TCTGTTGGCAAAGAGTTCTAAAGGTTTTCTAAAGGTTTATTCTTAAGCTCAGATTAATCTTGTCTATAAATAGTTTGTAAAGCCCTCTTGATTCATGCAGGCCATTTTGGTTCATGTTTATCTGGAATCAGGGAAGGTGGTGAAACTTCAAAATGAGATTCTAAAAAAGATTAAGATGTCCTTATGAGTGTGATATCTACCACAAAATAAAGATCGAGACTTTGCACCTGATCCATCTGTGGGAGGCCTGTGCAGTTTTTGGTAGCCACTCCCTGGCAGAGCATTTGTGAGCAAGATAATGTTATACTGATTATTTCAAAGCACTAATGGTGAGCATCCAAGGATTCTATTCCGGGTGCAACTACCAACTACCTACCGAGTAGGACCCTATTGTCATCATCGGTGACCATCCGATATGTGTAATACTGTTTGTAACTGCTTAACTGTATAATGGTTTAAAGGATTTTTCTCATGCTCTTGCCGACTGGGGTAGGCTGGAGAGGAGGGAGGCTTGGGTGGTCTGCCCAACACACTCTTGGTGTTGTTTGCAAGGATCATGCTCAGTGCCCTGCTTTGACCTCAGTGTCCTCCTCTTGACCCTAACACCTCAGAAGTGGTAGTTGGATGTTTTATGCATCTTGTTGTTCATAACTTGTCCCAACTGTGCATGTCTGCAGTTGTGTTTGACCCCTTGTGATTTCCTTGTATCCTGTTGTTCAAGCTGCAAGCCTCAACCTGCAGCAGGAGGTCCCAGGCCTCAGCCTGCTTAAAAGGCTAAAAGCATTTATCATCCTGACTTTAAACTGCATATATTCTTCTCTAGAGATCTTTTCCACAGAGCCTCTTCCTATGCATCCTTTGTTCTAGGTACAAGAATATTAAGAGAGTCCCAAAGCCGGAGGTGAACTTCATACCCAGCAGAGGGAAAGGGACCAGTGCATCTGCAAAAACAAGGACAACTTTGCAACAATTTGTTACCCCGTGTATGATCTTTATGGAAACTAGCTCCACCCCTTGAGCTCTTGAACTTTTACTATAAAACTCCTTGTCTTCTCTTCCCAGCAGACTCATGGTCTTAGAGACATTAGCTCACTGTGACCTCCTTAGCCTGGCAAAGACATAAAGCTGCCTTTTCTACTTCATCCAAAACTCTGTCCAGGGCATGGAGGCTGTGTATCAGCAACAAACTTACTTCTATAGACAGAGGAATGGCAAAAGCTGTTTACTGAGATCATGTAATGTTTATCAAAGGAAGACATCACTGGAACTCATTGGAAGGGATTGTACCAAGCTGTGCTAAACTGGGGTGCCAAATGGAGTGCCAGAGACTTTAGTCTTAGATCCTGTGTTCTCACTGTAAGAAAATGTACCCCATCCATCTAACAGCTTCTTGCTATGACTCTCTGTTTTTCTCTTAAACATAGGGACCAGTTGCTTCTCACTTGAGGTCCAGGGAGGATATGACAGCTTCCAGGAAACTCCTGGCAGTGTTATAGAGCAGCAGGCTGGTCCTCTACCGTAACCCTGACCTGAGATTAATTGGATTTCTATATGAAAAATGATGAAATTTGACTTCTTCTTCAGTCATACTCCAAAGTCAATTCCAAGTGAATTGGTGATCTGTACGTGACAAAATAACAAGCCTTATAGAGGATGACATTGGAGAAATTCTTGATCTTGGGGTAGAGAACATTTTCTTAAACTTGGCCTAGTAAACACCAGCCATAAAAGAAAAGACTAAATAAATTGGGCTACATTAAAATAAATAACTTCTATTTCTTTTAAAAGAAATACCACTAAGAGAGTGAAAATGTAAGCCACAGAATGGGTAATGATATTTGTAACCCATATAGCCAACAAAGGGCTTGTTTAAAATACTATATAAAGAACTCCTGCATATCAATAAAAGAAATACAGAAAATCCAGTAGAATACTGGGCAGGAGACAAATGGCGCTTCACAAAAAAAGGATATTCAAAAGATCAGTAAGCATATGAAAAAATGATCAACTTCAGTGGACACCAGGGAAACGCAAATAAAGCCATAATGAGATACCCACCAAAATGGCTAAGTTAAAAAGATCAGCAATACCAAGTATTGATGATAAAATGGAGCAAGAGGAACTTTGTTCACTTCTGTGGGAATGTGGACTGATAGAACCATTTGGAAAATTGTTTGGCTGTACCTACTAAAGTTGAACACCAACATATGGGATGTATGTTTATCGTGTGTCCCAGCAATCACAGCCTTAGGTATATACCCAACAGAATTTAGTGATGTATAAAACAGTGTGTACACATGTGTACAACATATCCAGCAGTGTTCATAGTCGTATTATTCCAACTAGCTGAAATTTGAAAAAAACAAAATGGGCAGTACAATTGGCAAATAAATTGTCATATCTCCCTCCATACTATGGAACAGAATAGAGCAAAGAAACACAGCTATATGAAGAAACATGAAGGAGTCTCAAAAATGAAATTTTAAGTGAGTGAAAGCAGACACGAAAGAATAGATTCCATATGATTCCATTTATATAAAATGCTAAAACAGACAAAACGAACTTCCAGGTTGGTGGACATGTGGAGGTGCTGGGAGTGTGGCGTGCTCAGAGAGGACGTGGAAGCTCCCGGTCTCCCATACCATGCCCCGTGCATCTCTTTCATCTGGCTGTTCTTGAGTTGTATTCTTGTATAATAAACTGGTAGTCCAGTAAGTAAAAAAATAAAATAGGCAAAACAAATCTATGATGTTCGAAGTTACAGTAGTGATTACTGTTGTGGGAAGTGGGTGCACAGGGGCTTCTGAATTGCTGGTAATGTTCTCTTTCTTGTTCAGGGTGCTGGTTACACAGGTATGATCATTTAGTGAAAATTCATCAAGCTGTACCTTTATGACTTGTGCACTTCCCGTACGCGTACTATACTTTAATAAAACATTTAAAAATTAATGCAGTTCCCCTGCTCCACCCCCACCATTGCCCTGGATAACTCCAGATTTGCCTCTTTTTGGTTGGTTACCCCGAGGAAGCATCCTCTTCTACATCTTAGTTTCCCCATTTGTAGAATGAAGGTAATTAATTTTTTCATTAAAGATTTCCTAAACTCCAAATACATGCCAGGCATTATTCTAAGTGCTCGGGACACATCAGTGAAGTAAACATACAGAGAGCCCTGCCCTCTTGGAGCTTAAATTCCAGAGATGGGAAGAGACAGACAATAAACAAACAAAGAGATAAACAATACAGGACGCTTGCAGGTAGTAACTGCTATGGCAAAAAGAAAACTTAGAGAAGGACAAGAATGACCAGGAGTATGAAGCAGGTGGATTGCGATACAAAATAGAGTAAAAAATACATGTATATTATTTTAAATTGTGACAAGTGCTAAGGAGAAGCATAAAGCAGGAAAGGTGTGTGTGTGTGTGTCTAGGGAGGCAATTACAATTGCAGATAAACATGGCATGCCTCACTGAAAACAGGGCATTTGAGTAAAGACCTGAAGTAAGCTGTGTCAGCCAGGCAGATATCTGGGGGAAGTAAACTCCAGGCAGCAAGAACTTAAATCAAAGGCCCTGAAGCAAAAATGTGCCTGCATGTTTCAGAAATTATAAGGAGGTCAGTATGGCTGGAGCAGAGTGAGCAATTTGGAGAGTCATAGAAGATGAGATCAGAATGTTTATGGGATGCCAAACTGGCTATGGCCATTTTGGGACAGTAGATAGTCTTTGGCTGTTAGCCATTTGAGTATTTGAGCAGAGAAGCAACATGTTTAGACTGAAGCTTACAGTCATTCTGGTGAGATTGGAAGCAGGGAGATTGGTTAGGAGGTTGTATCAGTCGGGGTTCTGTGAAGGAAACAGAAACTGCTCAGGCATTTTAAACAGAAAGGGATTCAATATAGGGAAATAAGAGCTTATAAAATTGTTGAAAGGGCTGGAGGAGTAGCAGTCAGGGGTCCTCACTGGCATGGACTTCAAAGTCTCACCACTGTGACTGAAACCCAGTTATCAGAAAGTTGATTCTACTACAATTATTGTTACACCCACAACTGGCTCTCACACCCATGAAGCTGATGGAGAGACCTTGCAAGGAACAAGGAGCCCAGAATCTGACCACTAAAATAGTCCTGTCTATCTACCTTTGCTTGTCAGCAGTCACAGCAGCAATAAGATGAGCTCCTCTTCCACCTTCTGTATTGTGTGTGTGTGATTACTGTTAGGAACTAACTGACAGACACTAATTGCAATAGGGTCTGGGAAATGTAGTTCTTAGCTCTCCAATCTCTCCAAGAGTGAGGAGAGGTTGAGAAAGACAATCTGATTGCTGTCCATAGCAGAGGTCACTGAAACAATCCAGGTGAGAAATAGTGGGGGCTGAGACCAAAGTGGTAGCAATGCAGTGGTGAGAAATGATTGTATTGGATTCAGTATATAATTGGAAGGTAGAAACAACAAGTTTTGCTTGTAGACCAGATGTGGGATGTGAGGGAAAGGAAAGAGTCAAGGATAACCCCAACTTTCTCAGTCTGAGCATTTGGAGAATGAAGTTGCAGTTTCTTAAGGGGTGGGCATGTTTCAATTGGAGCCTAAAGGTGAAGGCAACCCTTAGAGAGAGGTTGACAGTCTGGGGTATCTTACTAACCATTGACCATGAGTTCCAGGGGGCATGGTGGAAGCATTTCAGAAGGCAAAGAAGTATGGGATATGGGGCTAGAGATGGGAATGTGTGGAGCCTTATGTGGATGACCTGGGATATCTGGGCTTCATAAAAAGGGGCCAAGGGCAAAATGAGATTGGTCCTTATGGTCCCCAGGCAGAAAGGGGTGGTGAGCCTGTGAATGTTGGGGTGAGGGAAGGGTGGGAGGTCTATCAATACAAAAAGTTCTAGGGCTCCCCCTTGACTCTTGTTGATGGGGCCTTGTGAACCAGGATTCTATAACCACTGCTCTAGGTCATCCCAACAATAAGACCCTTGTGAATATAATGCTACCTTTTTCCTAGGTAAATAAGAAGTCCTGTCAGTGCCTCATTATCCTGGGAAGCAGTGGTAGCAGTAAGTACCTAAGGCATCTCTGAATTCTCCCACCTGGCTCTCCAGGTCAGCATTGGTAAATCTACAACCACCAGCAAGCGTCAGTCATGAACTGGGCCAAACTCCCACTAGCATCTTTGCTCAGGAATATCACAGTCTTACTTCATAATGCAGCCTCCAGCTGCTCCCCCACCAAACCTTGGCTGTTCTTCTTTGCCACCTCAATTTCCTTCTGTTTCTCCTTTGTGCTTTAAGATTCCTGCACATTCTCTCTGAAAACTTTCTGGCTTTTTAATCAACTAAAATGTTCCCCCAGAAGATACATGTTTCAAAACCTTCCCAGAATCCTCCTGATGTTGGACAGTTGTAGTAGAAACTACCAGACTGGCTGAAGAGTCTGGGTACCACCAGAGTGGACAAGACCCCTGATGCCCAGGAGAACAGGAGAAGCCTAAACACAGACCCTTGTCTTCAGAGGTCAGGCTCTGCCATTTTTGGTTTGTGTTTGATTCCAATCATGATTTATTGAACAAACTGAGGAAAAAGAGTCTTTCAGTTATAGAAGTATCTCTGAAGCCCAGTTTACTCATTCTCACCTAGCATGAGTGTTCTAAGAAGGCCCGAGCCTCAGTGTGCAGCTGACCTCTTCTACAAGCTAATGTCTGATGGGTGGGCATGCGATGACTTGAAAGAAAAGGAACTTGCAGAAGTGTTGTGATTGTGGAAAGGGAAGAGCAGAGAAGGGAAAAGAGAGGTCTGCTAGAGCCCACAAGAACAAGGTCTGGTAAATGGAAAGTGAAAATGAAAGGGTCATAGATGTCTAGATGCAGAAGAGAAAAAAAGGAAAGAGGCATCACACACTTCTTGACCTTATGCATTCTTTTTTTTTAATGGAGGTACTGGTGATTGAACCCAGGACCTTTATGCATGCTGAGCATGTGCTCTACCACTGAGCTATACCCTCCCCCCAAACTTACGCATTCTTGAATAGAATGAAGAACTATACAAAATATTTCACTGGTATGGAAATACTAGCTTATAACACAGGATTGCTTATTAACTGTTATATACTTTATAACCTTAAAGGATGCATCCAGACCCCTCTTCTCAGGATATTAAATAAACAATGCCCACTGAAAAGGAAAATAGAAGAACAAGAGATATTGAATTGTTATTGAACCAAACTTGGGTCTGTTGGCATGCTGTAAAGCCAATCTACTGACACCAAGTTGTGGTGAAGGGAAGTGCAGCGTTTATTGCAGGGCTCCCAGCAAGGAGTCCAGGCAGCTAGTGCTTAAAAGACCCAAACTCCCCAATGGCTTTCAGGGAAAGATTTTTAAGGCCAGGGTGAGGGAGAGGGTTTGGGGTGTGTAATCAGTTCATGGACATTCTTTTTAAAACAACTTTATTGTGGTATAATTTCTGTGCAGTAAACCACGTATTTCAGATGTACAATTTGATGAATTTTGATAGATGTATACACCTATGAAACCACTGCCACAATCAAGATAGCTAATATTTCCATCACTCCCCAAGAGATACAAATTTCAAACTTCCAATTTATCCCTTCCCACCCCCTTAACCCCCTGGCAACCATAAGTCTGTGTTCTATGTCTGTGAGTCTGTCCCTGTCCTGCAAACAATTTCATTTGTGCATGAACATTCTTCTAATTGGTTGGTGGTGAGGTAATCAGGAGTCAACATCATCAGCCTTCTGGTTTCAACAGCCTTGGGTCTATGTGCTTGTGGGTAGCATACAGTTAACTTCTACCTGGTAGGGGTTTCAATATCTGCAAAACAGCTCGAAGAGTTTGCCTCAGAAATTATTTATAGCCCCTGAGGAGAAACTAAATGTCCTTGACTTTGTTTAATGGCTAAACTATTATTATTTTGTCTTGCTTCACTGTTTTCTTTGTTTCTGCATTTTCTCACTTCTCTTATTAAATTTATTCTTTGGAACTTGGGGAAAGCCTAGGAGGCTAAAGCTTTACTGCTACAAACAAAAGGGAGATGGAGGACACTGGGATAGAAGGGGTAGGAGTCTGTCCTGGGAAGGCCCCATAGGGTCCTGCTCAATTACAGAATCTCATGCAGATTCATAGCTAGAATAAGATGTTGCTTAAATAGCAACAGCTTGATAAGGTCAGTGGCCAATCTTATAGGTAAAGTAATATCTCGTTTCAATTTGTATTTCAGTTGCAATTTGCTTTAAAAGGAGCATTTAAAAATGTTTGTTTTTCTCACTGATCAATTGCCTGTTCATATGTTTTTCCAATTTTTCTATTGTTGTCTTTTTTATTGATTTGTAGATAGTCTTTACATGTTATAAATCTTGCAAAGATCCTTTCCTAGTCTGCTTCTGCATTTTAAGTTTGTTTGTGGTGTCTTTTGCTGTTCAGAAGTTTAAGTGTTTGACCCTGACTTCATTTACCTGCTGTGTAAGAGGAAAAATTTGATTGGCAGAAGCACTTCCTGAGGAGACAGTAAAACAGAATGCTTTATTTCATCACAAGTGGCTCTTTCTTGCTGAAGTTGATAAACAATCAAGAATTTTTAATGACTCCTATATGCAAGATTCTAACTGAAGACTCTGTCCTTACCAAAGAACAATAGGATTTATTGTAGCCAATTGTGTGGGGATCTCTGGACTCAATCCATCCTATCTAAAGTGCTAGTTTTCGCTGCATAATTAGCCTAAGCCCTCCTAACACTTAACCTCCTCCCCCATCTCCTACCATCTTTCCCTAGTATGTTCCCTTCCCTTGTTTCTTAGTTCTGTTTTATTCTCTGACCATCAATTATACAACCTCTCAGTGCCTCAATTGGGAAATTGAAAAATAATAGAACTTACCTCATAAGGTTATTATGAAGACTAAATGAGTAAACAAACATGTAAAGTGCTTAGAACAATGAATGCCTAGTATACAGCAGGCACCCAGTAAATTTTAGCTATATTGTTTTACTGTGTTAAATTGATTTTCTCTTTATAGTTTGTGCTTTTGGGTCTTATTTAGTTAATACTTACCCAGTCAATAGGACTTACCACAAATTTTTCTCCTTTCTTCTTGTAGGAACATTGTAGGCCCCTTTTGAAGTTTGATGTGGCTGTGCTGCTTCATTTGATCAACAAAATGGGAGTGGAAGTGATGAGATCAGGGATACAGTCAGCCATGCACTGCCTTCCCGTTCCCCAACTTGGTAATTATGAAAGTGTGTTCTGTGACGGAGCCTCCAGCATCCTGCTTTCCTGTGTGACTATGAACAGAGCCCTGTTGTGGCCCAAATTAAGCAGGAATAAGAAGTAAACCTCTTCTTTGTCTGTTTATAAGAAATATCTTCCTTCTCTGAGGTTAAAAAAAATTATACATTTTTGATAATAGTTTTAGAGGTTTATTTTTCAAATATAGGTTTTTAATTTCTTTGTGATTACTTTTATAGACTGTGCAATTCCTTTTTCTTTTTGTTTTTGCAGATGGAGAGCCAGTCATCCCAACACTATTCATTGACTCATCTTGTAATAGGGAAGAACAAATCTGACTCCATGTTGGATCTGTTTCTTTTACTTTAACCTTCTATTCTGTTGCCTTTGCTACAAGTTCAGAATGTTGCCTATAGCCTGAAATACACAGGATAGCCTAGTCTCAAAGCTCTGACCTTTAAAGATATAACACTTTTCCATTCATATAGAGATAAAAAGTTGCACAACAGAGACTAACATTTGTCTTGTTGGAAGTTTATAGGAACATTGTGACCTGACCCACCTGGACAACTGCAAGAACAAAGGATTCCTGTACCAAGAAGTTTGCAACAACCAACCACACCCTCTCCCCTTTTAGTATAAAAGAAGCTTGAATTCTAACTCAGGTAAGATGGTTTTTTGGGACACTAGTCTACCATCTTCTCAGTCTCCTGGCTTTCTGAATAAAGTCGCTGTTCCTTGCCCCAACACCTCATCTCTTAGTTTATTGGCCTGTTGTGTGGCAAGCAGTACAAGGTTGAATTCAGTTACAACCTTTTCTGCCTGACTTGTGAGGCACCCCCTGCCATATCTGGAGTGCCTGTGCTTGCATAGGTCTTTGTCTTGACTCTTTATTCTCTCCAATGTTCTTTTTGTCTATTATTATACCATTTTATTTTATGGTGTCACTTACCATTTCTTTGTAATCTGTCTCAATAGCTTTGTAATTTGGTAGGCCAAGAGCAGGGCACTCTTCAAGCATGGAGAGTGGGGAATGATAAGTGAGTTGAGTTCTGTGCCTCTTAGCCAAACCCACCCTTGGTGAATAGAGCACCAGGCTCTGGGTCTGGACATCCTGGCTGTTTGCACATCAGAACGTACCTGTTTCCTCAAGAATAATTTAAGTGAGAAGCAAGGAACATATTTAGGAGCTATTATTAAATGTAATTGACAGGGCTTGGTGAGTGCTTGGATTTCTGGAGGGTGGTGTAGGAAGAGGGATTTATCTCAGACAGCACTTGTATTGCTAGCTCAATCAGGGCTGCAGGGATATCTGTGATAAGTATGAGACATGAACCTCCTCAACTGTGAAAATGCCAGCATCAAATCTAATGCTTTAAGAGAATTTCTTGAGCAAATAATACAACTGTAGAAATATATAGGTAACAGAAAAGCAAGATGTGATTATAAATGGTTTATTTCTTTAGATTATAACATTCATCACCATGAAATTGCATTTTTAAGACTGTCACTGCTGATAGTGCATAAAAACATTGCTTGTTAATCATAGCAAAATGTCCAGAGACTAGGGATTTCGGTAGTAAATTTGAAGACAGAGTATACACTTTTGTAGTCAGATACCTCAGATACCTCAGATGTCTTAGGGGACGTGAACACTAATATGGGCCACAAAAATGATCTTGTGTCCCATCCTTCCTAATACAGTTATCCTTCAGTATTTGTGGGGAATTGTTTCCAGGAACCCCCTGCAGATACCAAAATCTAAGGATGCTCAAGTCCCTTATATAAAATGGCATAGTATTTGCATATAACCTCTACACATCCTCCCATATGCATTAAATCATCTCTTGATTCCTTACAACGCCTAATACAATGTAAATGCTATGTAAATAGTTCTACATGTGATGTAAATAGTATGTAAATTGTTGCCAGGTGCATGGTAGGTTCAAATTTTGCTTTTTGGAACTTTCTGAAATTTTTTTCCCCAGTATTTTCAATCCATGGTTGGCAAGGAGCAGGAGCTCCCTGCCCCTTTGCCTCCCTCCCACACCCGTCCTCACACACCCCACACAGAGGCACCACACAGGGGAGGGTTACAGCTCAGCAGGGAGGAGCAACAGGACAAGGAGGCCAGGAAGCAGCAGAAGGAATGTAGGGCTTTCTCTCATTCCTGCAGATGGGAGGAAGAGGAGGAAGGATTTCTCTTCAGGGGTGCTCAAGATGTGGGGCTGTCAAACTTTTTGAGCTTCACACTATGATCAAAAAACCGGGAGGGTAGGGCTTTGGGGGCTCCCTTGGCCAGCAATTAGACTCCCCTTGACTTTCAGGAATTCCTGAAGTACTCAGGAACACCAGGCAGAGCGGACTGTGAGGACACATCCTTCTGGTTCTCTGAATTTAAGGTGACCTCAAATTGACCGAGTTCTAGGCCAGATGGGTCCCTCAGCCTCTCTCACAGACCTGTGCTCCAAGATACAGTACCTGGGTAAGAGAGACTTTCCCTACCTGGGGCCTGTAGCTCCCTGGCCATTGTGGAAGCCCCTCCATGCTTGTCTTTGTCTACCCAGAAAGATGCTTCTGGGTCTGGATCTTGCAGAAATTCATCTTTTGCACCAACACATAACGCTCTTTTCTCTACTAACCATTGTTAACTGGAGTCTGACACTTGGTGGGATCTGGCTTCCTTTCCTGGGGTTCTGAGCCTCCTTGAATCTGAATGAACATCAACCCAAATCCAGCTTTCCTCTGCTGGATTGTTTACCTGGGTATCATGTTTTCATTCAACTTGATCCAAATTGAAAATTCCTCCATGTAAAAGCTTGGAGTCCCCTGGTAATCACTTTCTGTGGTTCTGTCTCTACCCTAAACATTCGTCTTGTTTCCAGGACCCTTTTAGAGCATAAAGACTAAGTTGGTTGAAACTTGTTGGATGCTTAGTCCCTATGCAACTCAGTTCCACTTCTGGCTGGATCCTGGCATCTCAACAAAACTTAACTTACTTCAACAACATGTACTGGGGCTCTGATTCAAGCCAGGAATTAGTGACAGGCTCTGGTTGCAAATGGAACAGGGAGAGAAAGTCTCTGGCATTAAAAAGATCACCAGACTATTAAAAAATGGTTATCATAGAGATGGTGAGTGATGGCTGAGATGCATACAAGGTTCTCTATGGGAAAAAGGATAGTACTTGTTAAGCCGTGTCTAAGTGCCAGGCAATAAGCTATGAACTTCTCTCTTTTAATTCTCACAGAAATATTCCTGAGTATTTATTATTTGTGTCCTCATTTTGCAAATGAAGCAATCTGAGACACAGATTGCTAAGGTAACTTGCCCAAAGTCACAGAGCCAGTGGTGGTTGAGCCTGGATTACCATTGAAGTCACCTGACCCCAGACCTGTGGCATGGATCATAAATTTTGCCTGAAAGTATCAAGGAAGGCTCAACGTTGGAAGTGATATTTGAGTGAGATCTAAAAACACAGTTACTAAATTGATAGTGTCTTAAATTGGATGAAATATGACATGAAATCAAAAAGACTTCAGTCCAGAAGGAACAATGGGTGTAAATGCACAGAAACCTGAGAGCCAGGGCACCTTGGGAAAGGCTGAATAAAGTGGAGCTGCTCGTCGTGCATTTCTCACCCATCCTGGGGCTGGAGAGGTAACAACCTTTCTCTATGCTCTCCATTGCTATTTCCAGCCTTTACTGATATACCTTCACTGAGGTATGTGTCCTCTGGTTTTCCCATCTCTAAGCTCCGTCAGGCCGGTCATCATCCCTGTGTATGTGGTCTCCTACATGGCCCACTCATGCAAAATCTTTCAGATCTTTGATCTCCTCAGCTCCAACACTGTTCACCTATTTTCCTTCATTCTAGACAGCCACTTTGATAGAAATGTCTTCTAACATACTCAGAACCTGCAAACTATCTACACTGGAAATCTCAAGGTCCACCATCCTCTTTTCTGACCACACTCATCAGTCCGTCCAGCTTTCATTCTTTCTCCTGAAACACCTAGAAATGCCAGTTCCCTGACCTCCCTTGATCACCACAGCCACTGCCTCAGTTCAAGCACCTGGATATTTGCCTGGATTACTGCAGGGGCCACACCATTCTGCCTAGAGCCAGGTTTCCCGACTCCCCTGACCCACTTCATTGCCACACATTCTGGTGCTCTACATGATTTATGTTCCCTGGTTTCCAGCAGATGTTTTTGACCTTTGAGTACAGCAAGGAGACTGGGAGCTTAGCTGGACTAGGAATTGCCATGGGTCTCTAGGCCTGAGCTCTGATTTCTATTCTGGAACACTAGCTTTCTGCTCAGGATCAAAGTGCTCCCCAGTTGACTGGAAGCCTTCTTGTTGTCTGCCGTAGGTAGCTTCTGGTAAGACAGCACTCTCCTCCTGGTGGCTCCACTACTTCCATCCCAAACGCAGACCTTGACTCACCTGAACTTCTCCTGACTTTGTAGAGGTAGTCAACCCTCCTATTACTTTTCCACCCACTATAGAAGCAGTTGAAATTGCTCTTATCTTTTTGGGGACTCTCAGGTGTAATGTCAAAGTATTTTTCCTTTTCAGTGATACTGACTTTCTGATATACTTCATACCCTGGAATCAGTACTTCCTCTTAGTATGGATAGTAAGAATATTCTTTAATAGAAACACCCAAGCAAGTGGTGATTTTAAATATGTTCCACTGCTATTTTTTCAAAATAAAAGGACTCCTACCTCTCCTTTTAGACAAAGTGGATATGATAAATCCCCCCAAACGTACATTTCCACTCCTGTTATAATGCTACATGGGGATAGAGCGTCTGTATACTGTATAACAATCTCCCTGATTAAGAAGTTAAAGAGCTCTTATCAAATAATAATGGAAGGCTTTGAATTGAAAATTGTCTGAATTATTGTGAAATTCTCTTATGGCTCTATTAAAGTCTACAGTGCCCCCAGAAGAAGCCACTAGAGCCGTTCCATGAAAATCACTGAGTTTCCTTGAAACATTATTTGTGTTCTTTATGTAGTTCCATTTGTCTGATGTCCATTGCCATTCGATTGAAAATTGTTTATTTGCCTCCAGTTCTTCCTTTAACAGCTGGGGTGCCTTTTCTTCCATTTCTTCAGTACAGCGGACATGCTCATCGTCAGATGCATTGTCAGCCATGTTAGGTCAACCTGGTCAGACAGCTATAAGGAAGGAGCAATGTCCCTTGAAAGGGAGCAGAATATGCTACCCAAATGTGCTACTTTGGCATGTGGATTATTTTGAGGTGAAAGCAATCAAGAATCGGCAGAGTCAAGAAAGGCTTTTATCTCTCCCTTAAATGCCTAAAAGAATTTAGATAGGGGGCCTATACCAGAGAAGGAACTATTACCAGAAATAACATTTTTTATCTGAAAGACTACATCTACATTACAGGG